AAAAGAATCCTAGTGTTCTTGGAGTCAAATGGCAGGCACAAACTGTGCAAGAGTACTGCATTACACCTGCTGGAAAACAGGCGAGTGATAAAGGGTTGAGACCATTACAACAGCATTTACTGGGAAAACATCAGGGCTAGAACATGAACTTTGCAATCCTAAACAGAAGGTTAAAGGATACACAAATACGCTAAAATACAGCAGATAAAGTGTTCCAACTAGAGAGCTGGACAGACAATTAATTAAAGAGGTGCTTGCTGCAGTAAATTTTATTTGCACTGCTAAATACACTACCTGTACCTGAAAAATGGAGCTGAAGAAATATATAAGTTAACTGGTAAAGGACAAAAAAAGAATCCCCAACTCAAAACCAAAAAACAACAAAACCCACCCTAAACCAAAAGAACCCACAACACACCAAACCACTCCAGTTTAGAAATGATGACTCAAGCTTGAAGGCAGGATGAAAGAACTGAATTTGTTTAGTCTAGGAAAGCAAAGACTGAAGGGAATTTGATATATCTTCTAGTACATAAAGGACCTATCTATTAAAATACAAAAATAGCTCTGAGCAACAGAATTTTAACAAAGGAAAATTTCTGTTTCAGGAGAATAATTAAGCATTGACAGAGACTAATAGGTGTAAGTGCTGAATCTGCATCACTGAATGTTTTCAAAGAAGCATCTGCTGGGGATAGTCTAGATAAGGCTGAGAGCAGGAAAACACATCACTTGATATTGCAGGCTTGTATTTCCATACTTAATTGTACTTGTAAACTGTCTTAAGTAAGACTATTTTTGAGCAAAAAACATCTGTTAATTTCATTTAAATTATCAAAAAAGCCAACATCCTATCACATTAGGATATTGGCTCCCTGTCAGTGATTTCTTCTGTGCATGTACTAACTTGTAGCAAAAAGCCAAATTGCTATAATTTTATGTAAATATAGAGCATTACACCTACCACCTGGCTTCAGCCATTTTCACAAGGGTAGGACATGGGAATGCCTGCACAGAGAAGCTGTGGATTCTCCACCTTTGGAAATACTCACAACCTGACCAGACATGGCCCTGGCTCTGAGTAAAGGGTTGGACTAGACAATCTCCAGAGGTGCCTTCCAGCATCCATAACTCTGTTATGCCAGCACAGTGACTCAACATGCATGTTCACCATGCTAAATGACTGCATTAAATTAGTAGTGTTTGCACTACACAAGGTGTTTATTGCTTGGGGTGAAGAATTACCTTCCTTGAGGGACCTGTGCTCCTGTAGCACAAATGTGTACAGAGAGGGTACAATCTGCAGGTTGTCAATAAACCAGAAGGGCAGTAATTTTCTTCTGAAAAGAAAATAGAGGGACTATTCTTTAAGTAACAACTCAAGTTTCACAAAGACAAAAAATTAACATTTTCAAAGAAACTCATCCATCGGAACACACACTTGGCTAAACAGGGAAATGCAGCCTACAAGTGAAAAGGCTGGACCTCCGAGCAACAAGTACAATCAGGTCAAGCTGTCCTCTGCACTCAGCAACATAGCCTGTATGTCAGTCATATTTCCATTTACATTGCAAAGGCTTTTGTTTGAAGAAATTACAATGTTACTGAAAGGGCATTGAGATGGCGGTTACAAGCCTGGACATGCTGGATTCACACAAGCATCTCCATTTTGGCATGTGCTATATTCTGCTATTAAAGGTACAGGAAATTCCTTGATGAAAGCCAAAATAGCACATCCTGAAATAGTCTACTGGCAGTGACATAGTTACCAATCACCAGTGAAAGATGAGCTAACGTGATTTAAACATTTTCTTGGTGTCTAATAACACAGAATGGGCTACAGAAAAGATTATCCAGTCCAACTGAAATTATGGTCCTATTGCAACAATATAATATCCTGATGAAGTTGAAATTCTGTCCGAGGCAGTGCACTGCAACTAAGCCAACTAGATGGTAAATTAGATGTCATTTAATCTGCCACTTCCTCTGGTTTTCAGTGAGCAGCGACCTCTGTCTGACACTCACGTGTCCAGCCACTCACACTTATTAGTGCTACGAACAAAGGAAGAAATAAATAGTGGCAACTGTCATTACCACTACTGTCCCACAGCAAAAGGTCCTGCTGTTAATGTCTGCAGAAAAGAGCAAATCCAGAAGGTATACCCAATTTCAGAGCCACACTGGTTTCAGGTGGACCATTGGAGAAGGGAACAAACTATGAATAACAGGCATTGATATAACTGAGTTGATTCCTACATGCAAGAAGCAATAGCCCTCAGGTATTTCACAACTGTTGTTATATATTACTCTACGACCTTCTGTTTTATAGGCTTTTGCTATCTAGATAATTAAAGATAGCAAAGCTGGATCTGCACTCCATGGAGTTAGTGCTTTATTACCTTGATACCAGAAAGAAAGAAAAGCAAATATCCAAACTGAAATGTCGCTCATTTCTCAAGGAACAAAACGCTGTCACAGGAGTTCAGGTCAGCCACCCATAGGGCAGTATCCAGTACCCTGCCTATCAGGCCTCCAGCTCCTGCTGGGAGAGGATCACCTGAAAGACTCATGTCCCATCTTCCAGCTAGGTAGGGATGGACTGGGGCTCAAGGACACCTTAAAGGCGCCAGGCACTTACGTTTTGGCAAGTGAGTTGAGTCCAAAGTTTTCACTTCTCTCTAGATCTGCTGATAAGCCCCTTTACGAGATCCCCAGCTACTCTGTACAACAAAGCAAGGAAAAACACTTCCTTGATCCTTCCCCAGGACAGTTCTTTTCAAAATACCCCTCTTCTCACCTTTCAGAAATTCAAATTAACCCATCATCTCTGCTTGAACAGGAACATCCACACTCCTTTGCTTTTCTTGTGCATAAAGAGAGGACATCATTATTTTGAAGCAAGAGGAATGTGGAAGAATAAGGAATGGAGATTATTTTAAAAGCAAAATGCAACACTCACGTTGCTAACACCCGTGTTGTTGCCAACAAACAAAATACAATCGTTATGACTTTTCAAACGTGTATGTAGGACTACTAGCAGAGACATAAACTTGAACCAACACCATAGATCTTACTTTGTCTAAATTATTAACATAAGTTTAGCAACAACCATGATCCAGTCACAGAAATAGGACAGCTACTGCTGCAGAGTCATACAGTGTGTTATAAAGTTAAAAAGGCCAACTGCCCTCACAGATGGCTCTCATAGACCAATCCTACAGAAACCAGCGGCAGTAAGCATGGACTCAGAATGGTTCATGACCTAGCAACTAGTAGATACTCCCTCTCCTGAAGGATGCTCACCTTTCTACCAGATTAGCTGCAGTTATATTAAAATTCAAGAAAAATGGCTGAAGTTGTACAGTTTGTCTTATGCAAAGTAAGACTGAGTAACCTGACAGCCATTTCTGGTTTTGCTGGTTTGCTATTGGTTTTGGTGTATTTGGTTTTTATGTTTTGGGGGTCTTTTTGTTTGGGTTTTATTAGTATTATTATTAATTTTTGTATTAGTATAATTATTATTTTTGTATCAATAATTTAAATTATCAACCTTTATGCAAAAATTACAAAAGCGGTCATGAAGGACTATCACATAGAGAAAAGAGACATGAAGGGGGCACAACATCAACTTTTCATGGAATCATAGAATGGTTTGGGTTTGAAGAGACCTTAAAGATCATCCAGTTCCAATCCCTCTGCCATGGGCAGGGGCCCAGGTTGCTCAAAGCCCATCCCACCTGGCTTTGAACACTTCAGGCACCCTGTCATCTACAGGAATACATAACAGAAAGGAAAAATATTTAAATCATATCTTTCTTAATGCATTCAAGAGAATCTCAAAATTTGGTTGACACTTCATGGAAGCACTCTTCTTTATCCTACCCATGAATGTTGGATAACTTTTTAAAGCCGTTTTCCAAGAAATCGAAGGTTTACAAGAGAAATCAAATGAAGTATTAGGAGAGTCCACCACATCATTTGATCTCCCCTAGCTCATACAAAATAATCAGCATTTCATACCAATGCAAATGTTACAGTGTGCCCTTGTTTAAATAAACTAAATTAAACAAGAACAGACATTGCTGAAAACACTTCTCACTATGTGTGGCAATGAAATCTCTCAGCCTGCTTTCAAAGCATCTGCCAGGGAAGCTAAGGAACAGATTCTGGTAATCTTATTTATGTTATGAACTTCACAAGACTTCTGTAGAAATAATGGCATTATACTCACAGTGGATGGTCCTGTTCAAGAACTCGAAAATTTCTCTCATGTAGTTAAAAAGGAGGAACTGTCAGGTTTGTATTATGGCCTAATAAATACTGGAAATGGTTGAATACAAGAGCTTTTATAAAGGGAAGTGTAGTGTTTATTTAAGAACACAGATGTTTATGGCTCTGAAATTTAAGTTATACTACAAGTACTTACAAAATACTTTTTAGAGAAAGTGTGAAAGTCCCCTCAGTAATTTCTACCTAACTTGAAATTAGTTTAAATTGTCACAGAAACACATTAATCTGAACACTGAAAGAAATAAAAGGAAAACCACTTTCAGGGATGAGCATTTGTAGAAATTTTATTGCCATTATTTAAACCATATATTTAGCTTTCTTCATAACATTAATAACTTTTGAGCTATAGCTACTAGCTAAATAGTGAAATACAGAGATATCTAAACTAGCTTAACTAAACCAAGTAGTAGTTGTCCAGCTGTAACAGCAGGAGATTTCACAGAATAAATAAATTGCAGCAACAATCAGAATACTTTTACCACATTCAGACATCCACTTGAAGTAAAGAAATCCCAGTCATCTTCACACAATACAAATCTCTTCCTGTACCTTAAGATGTAAGAGGTAAGTGAATGAATTGACCCCTACAGGACACAGGCAGCAGAGCTGGGAACAAAGCATTGAGTAGATGTATTTTACTGATTTGGAGGACATATACACTGATTTGGGGTTTAAAACTGGTGTGTTCTTAGGAGCACTCAAGCTCTTACCTTTACAAACATGAAAATCTCACAATCTTCCTGAAAGTTGTCAGTTTCTCCGAAGTTATTGTTAAGAGGGAACTTGAGGGAAGTTGGAGAGTTGGAAGAAGTGCTCCGGCTCCGACGCAACTGGAAATCCAGAGGAAAATGCATGTTGCTCTTAAACATCATGCCCTCTACATGTTTATCTTCCAGAGTTGGGCTCATCAGATCCATCTCCTGGTATGGGTGGTCTTCTTCAGCACCATGGTGAGATGAAGAAGAACCATCCTCCCCATCAGCCCCATGCTGAAAGGCCACAGAATTACTACAGCTATCTTCTGAGCTGTCCTGGCTACTATCCATGCTCTCGGGGAGAGTAGTGATGGAAGAAGGAGACACTGGATCTTCATGGACATGATCATAAAGATTATCCCTTTTGTCTTCTTTAGAGCCCTGAATCTCATAGATATTGGTGGTGTTAACATTTTGATAAACATTGGTAAAGACCTGATCTTCCATGACTGCTGGCTGGTGAGTTTTGCCTGCCTGCTGGTACCTTACAAGACTGCAGCTAAAGTGAGATGTTGACAAACGCTCTTCAGGAGGAAGCAGAGTCTGTGGTGTGCTTTCTGAATGCTCTGCTACACATGGCAGATCTCCAATAATCATTTACTGAGAGCTATAAATCAACAACTACACTTCCACTGAAGTAAAAGGGCTGTCTCAGTTTTAACCCCTTTGTTGATCTGGCTGCTGGTTACTATATCTTAGGAGATGGAATCACTTGTTGTCCATCAAGACGTAGCCTGGCCAAGTACAGTGATGAACAGATGAAGCACCTACAAAGCTATGGTAAAGAAATATGTACTTTTTCCACAGGAAGTCAAAAACAGTTTTACTGGCAATCTTATGCATATTTTGTGTAAAGAGAAACAAATGCAGACTTCACCCATTTACTCATATTTTCAACCCACAAAAACCTAGCTTCAAGGAAAAGCAAGGCAAAAGTGCCTCAACAAAACAAGCAATCACCTGCACATTTTCTCTGGTTACTTACAACATCATTAGCAAATTATAATAATTTATAAAAAAAACCTACAAATATAAAAAATTATAAAGTGGCATATCCATGAGAAAAAGGCATCAAACTTGAACTCTTTCTAGTTTTGACAGTGGTTCACTTGACCTTGAATGACTCCACATTTAACAACTTCATCCTCTCATCTATAAACTAGAGTCAAGACTGTAAAAGGCTTGTGAGCTACCCTGCAATCTAGGAAGGGGAAAAAGAAACACTGAATAAGCATTAACTAATTGTTGTAACTGCATACTTAATTTATAATTACTTGTAATCACATTCAGGTTATACATCTCCATGTCATAAGACATAGACCCAAGCTGCCAAAGTTGGGTTAATGCTGCTTGACTTCAGCAACCTAGTTAGCCTCCTTCTCCATGCAGTTCCTTTTCTCTAGAGGTTAGAGACACACAGAAAACCCCACAGAGTCTAAAGCAGAGGAATACTTTCAGCTTTAGCATCCTTCTTAAAGATGGATACAGATTCCAGAGCATCTGAAATCAGTGGAGTTGAAAATCATTACAGATTCAAATCTGAATTTATCAAAGTTGTGAGAGCTTCAGACCCGACTGACTTTTTATCTAGATGTTTACTACATCTGGATTATATGGATTATTATCAGAACTGTTAGGATCCAATTATATTTAATCTTTTGGGGTTGAGCCACGATTTAAATTAAAGGCGTTTTCCTCCTAACGCATCCTTGTAACTTCATGAAAGGTAATTGCTACAGCAAGGCTGGATTTGTAAAAGAAACACAGAAGAGAGATTAAAGAGAAGGATTGTAATTGCACCCATCTCCAAACAGAACTAGGGGGACCACATGCTTCTTTACATTGTAGAGTAGCAGGTGCTTTCTGTCTGAGATTTATAATAGTAATTTACTGTCTTTATTCTTATATTGAACTTTTTAGACAACTATAAAAGTTCAATATCAAAAGCAAACCAATACTTCACCTTATCAAACTTAGATTCAACTAAGGTTCCTAGATAATGCCAAAAGTGCCAAAAACATATTCACAATCAGCAACACAGTAAAAGACGCAGGTAAGTATCAGAGATCAAGGATATCTCTTAGCTCATGAGGGCACCTCAGAGGCTTCAAGGATACCTAACCCATATCAAGGCCTAATTTCAACTATTATTACCCACAAATTCCTGCCTGGCACATGCAGTCCATCAGCAAACAGAACTCCACAATAATCACATCTCCTATCACAGAACAGAACAATCACATCTCCTATTTACATTTTCTGTATGTAATTCAGTCAGAATTATTCATGTGGAAATCCTAAATAAGAGATTATGAAATTTGTGCTGTCATCTGTACTGCAAACTTCAAGCATTCCACACCAGCTATTAGAGTGATAAAAAAACTGACTTAAAATCATGAGCTTAATTTACTAAAGCTCAAGAAACTTGGGAAAGCCAACAAGCCAACTAGAAAATGTTATTATTTTTTGAGTATTTTTTACTTTTATGAAAACACTTGCATTTCTTCACATTTTTAGGAAAAAAAATGTATGTCTACCTGCATCTGTTCAACTTGCTCTGAGCATGGATAAGCAACTCCCTTGATCTTCAACCCTTCTTACAAAGTGCTCTTGCAGGATTAAGTATACTGGGATTGTAAAAATTCCCTCCTTAGTCACTCTTCTGGCAAATAACTTAATGAAGAAAAGAGAACACAGGCATATTCATGATGCAAAACAAAGAACAAAGTCCAGTTGCACAGCATTAAATCCAATGACTGACTTCTTTTTTTTCCTGCGCAAACACAACATCAGCAGGAAGCAGCAGCACCTGCTGGAGGGTATAAAATATCACAGGTAAAATAAGGAATAAGAGACTCATGTATGAGTATTATTTAAAAATAAATAGAGTTGATGTGGATTTCACAAGTCAGAAAACTTCTCCTTTCCTCTGCCCCCTCCAAGAGCAAAGAAAAGTCCCATTCACCTCCAAGATCCAGATTTCACTCTTGTGACAGGGTGATAACACCCCAGAGTAAACTTGATCACATTTATGAATTTATCCAGGTGAAAATCAGGTGCATTTCAAGTCATCTTATGTGAACCCACTGCTGGTTTATAACCCTTATATTTCATCTTCAGGGATGACAGAAATAATTTTGGTGTCATAATTCTAAAGTTAGGTTTGTAAGAAACAAGATCAAAACTGAGGTGTCCACATTGTGGCTTTGAACATGAGTGTCCTATGCTGCTTCCCCCCCACTCCCAAGCTGAAAATGCTCTGTTCCAGCAAAGGAACTTGTGTCCAGTGAAATGGGACTTCACTCCTGCACAGAAGTGAGAGGAAAGAGGTTGTATGAGGCAGGAGGGCACTAAAAAGTCTCAGCATCACTCTGCTCCATTCTCCATTGGAAAGTAAAGCCCTTCAAGCATCAGGCCCAGCTCTACCGTCACAAGAATATTAAGACTACAAAACAGAGAAATCACCAGTTTAATCCATTCCCCAAATTCCTCTGCTCCCAAGTGTAGGGTGCTAGCAATACTTTCTGCTGTTAGTTCTGCAATTCAAGTTGTGTCCCTTACCACCCATACCCACGTGAGACATCCCATCACACTGGTTACTTGCTGTAGCGAAATACATATAACAATATAACCAGAAGCAGCAAAATTCATATAAGGACAAAGAACATGAGCAACATAATTCATCATTTTCAAGGTTTATTTTTTACTTCAGGACTGAATTTCTATTTTTATGCTAACCTTATTCTTTTTAATGCAAGAAATATCAGAATTAACATGACCGTAACTCCAGCTAGTACATATAACCTCATGAAGTTCAACAAGGTCAAATGCAAGGTCCTGCACCTGGGTGGGGGCAATCCAAAGCACAAATACAGGCAGATTGAACATAGCCCTAAGGAGAAGCACTTGGGCGTATTGGGTGATGAGAAGCTCAACATCACCCATGCATCAGAAGGAGCATGGCCAGCAGATCAAGGGAAGGGATTCTGTCCCTCTAGTACACTCTGGAGAGACCCCCCTGCATTACTTCATCCAGCTCTGGGGCCCCAGCATAATGCTGGGGCAATCCAGATGTCATGGTTTAAACCTTGCCGGCAACTAAGCACCAGACACAGCCACTTGCTCACTCCCCCTGCTCCCCAGTGGGACAGGAAGGAGAACTGGAAAAAAAAAAAAAAAAAAGTAAAAACCCATGGGTTAAGAAAAGAACAGTTTAATGATTGAAATAAAATATTATAATAATAGACTAATGACACCAGTGATAGGAAATAGAAGAAGAAATAAACAAGAGTTTTGCACAATACAATTGCTCACTACCCACTAACCGATACGCAGCCCAACCCGAGCAGCAATTGGCCCCTTCCAGGTAACTCTCCCCAGTTTCTGTACTGGGCATGACGTGCTGTGGTATGGAATACCCCTTTGGCTAGTCTGGGTCAGGCATCCTGTCTCTGCTTCCTCCTGGCTTCCTGCGCCACTCCTCACTAGCAGAGCATGAGAGACTGAAAAGTCCTTGATCAGGGCAAGCGCCACTGAGCAACAACTAAAGCATCAGTGTGTTACCAGCATTGTTCTCAGACTAAAGCCAAAACACAGCACTACACCAGCTAACCACCAATTCTTTCTACAGTCCAACGGACAGCAACAGGCACCTCAGAGACCATGATAAAAAGAGATGAAAAAAATTATAACGAAATTAAGTATATTCTGGAGATGGTCTTTATTGCTGCAAAAGTCAGTCATCTGAGCTCCTTCAAATAGGTATCTTCTCAGACAGCAAGGCTGGAATTCACCTACATTTAAAAGCCTAGAAATGAACTCCAAAACTCACACTACGAACCTAGATAATTGCCTGGCTCACTCTACAGAGAAACATGGAGCTCAGTTCAGAAGCCCCAGAACACATACAGGCATTTATTGGTATTTGAGTTTGCACAGACCAACTTGGTTTTATCTGAAAGCCAGAAAACATAGTAAGGGCCCTGACACACTTAGAATGGTATGTTAAAATCACTGAAGCTGCTACTGAAACTTAAGCTGTTCACCCTTTAACCCTTTTTAGCAGCAATCAGCACCTCCAGCTTAAAATAGTCAAGCAGAAGACTAGCTTGCAAAGAAGTTCCTATACTGTGAGAGTATGTTATCCGAAGAGGAAGAGAAGGGTAGAAAGAAGGAAGAGTAGCAAGAATGTCAGCATACCTTGCATCTTCTCAGAGATTAGTAAGTAAAGGCAAAATGCCATATTGCACTATTTAATTCAGATTCCTAATACAAGACTTTTTCCTGGGTACCCATTTAGGAAAGAAAATAATTTGCCTGCCTCCTAGACATTCCACAGCTCTGGAAACTCCAACTCATCTAGAAGTGCCACAAGCAGCTTCAGTAGTTAACAGCCCTGTTTAGAAACAGCAACCTGTTTCTATTGCAGTTTCTCAGGAGGCAATTTTTAGTTGGTTATTGCTATGATTTTAGTGCTTTACTTAAAAGAACCTTTAAGTTTTATTTATTCTTCCTGAAGATGCTTCCACACTTTAGCAAAGAGCTTGTAAATCTTTCATCACAACCTAAATAAATTGAGGTCTGTCAGTTGCTTGCTGTAAAGTAGCTTTGTCCAGTCCTAACAAGAAAACCTAATAGTTAAAACACCTGCGTATTCTTGGAAACAGTTGAAACTGAAACTGAATGATGGTGAACCTTTTTTATGTCAGTAGAAATGGAGGGATCGTTTTTTTTCTGTTCTCTCTAGAAGAATGAGAGAATCAAGTTCCTCTATCCAGTTATTCCCACAGACATCAACACTCACAGACCTGTTTGATAGGAACAGACTGTGAAAAGCAGCACTATAGCAGTCCAAGCATCTGCAGCTCCCCAAATTGTTTCAAGATGGGAATGACCTGGTGAGGAGGAGGAACAAGACTGTTCAGTATGGCCATTTGTGCTCCAGCCTTTGGATGGTCATCTTTGGGCACCCAAGAAGATCACTGGAACCTTGCTGCTAAGAAGGGCTACTTTACAAAGGACAAGAAGTTGCACAGATACACTGACAATTTTATCTGTACTGCTATGTGTCTGTATGGAGTTAGCATGTTCTGAAACATACGCTTCAGCTCAGTTTCACAATAACTGTTGACATGCGCAGCTTTAGCAGTTTCTGCATTCTATTTAAGACATGGTACATAATAAGGAAATGAAAACACACACTAAATAACATTTCAGAAGACAGTGGTTTGGTAGAAGACCTTGATCATCTTGTTGTTCCACACAGCAGTCAGGCCTCCAGAAACCCATTTGCTGCTCAGCTAAAACTGGCCTGGATGCTGCCAGCTAGCTCATGAGTTCAGGACCACGCTGTAATAACAGTGATTCATCTTCACCCAGATTTTGCTTTGCTACTGACTGCAAAAAGGTGTACTTAAAGCCAGCATATCAGTAAATTTAACTCCGCAGAAGACAGATGCTTCTCCATTGGGAACTAGACAAACAATTGAAAATTATTTTGCACAGGACACTCAACTCTCATCAACAGCTTTTAGATGTTAAAAATACCAGGAATTATCAACAGACATTTGAAAATCTGCTTTACCTGCTGAAGGGCCTAAACAATTATTCCTGACTTGGATGCTCCAAAGCCCTTTATTTGTGGTCTTCCAGGTCCTTTTACAAAACTTTCTTTGGTTTTCTCTCTAGCTCTACAGTCAGAAACTCCATTAGAAACCTGAGAGCCTAAGAAATACTGGCTTTTTATTCCCCCAAGTGCTCCAAGGAAAACATTTCTGTTTGCCTTTAAAATCTGGCATCATTTCAAATCCTTGTTTGCCTCTGAAACCAAACACGCTTAGGAAGCCCAAGCAATCTGTCTTCAGGCTCATTTATGATGGAGGCTCTAGTATCCAAAATAGAGAAAGCAGAGACACCACCCTACTCTCTATCACCTTGTCATGCAGCCTTCCGGACATCATTCCATGGACAGCTTGATGAACAGCAGAGTCAAAAGCCCTTTTTCACTTACAGCCTTCATATACAACCTATTTCTTGGAATAAATGGGCACTAAAAGCT